TTCACAGCTTCAGTTAGGGCAATATACTCCACTTCAGTGGTTGATAAAACAACGGCCTTTTGAAGTGTTGCTTTCCAACTGATTGATGTCCCAAACATAGTGAACACATATCCAGAGATAGATTTTCTGGAATCCATACAACCTGCATAATCAGAGTCGACATATCCTTCGATTGCTGCTTTACTATCTTCACCCAAGGCTCCACCATAAATTAGGACTCTATTCAGGGACCCATTTATGTACCTTAAAATCCACTTACAGCTGACTAACCTAGCTCTAGTAGGTTTCTCGGTCAGTTCCCAAGTGTTGTTATCATGAAGAGATTTCATCTCATCATCCACGGCCTTCAGCCATTCAGTCTTATTTCGACTCCTTATAACTTACTTATAGTCTCTAGGTTCTTCATCTAGAACCTCACTAGCAGAGATTAAGGCATAAGCTATAAGATCTGCATACCCAAGTCTCTGAGGTGGCTTGATGACTCTCCTTGACCTGTCTATTGCTAGCAGGTAGTCATTATCACTCTCCTCATCTTCGACAACATCTTCTGCGTCTTCTTCGACTTTATCTGGGGTACGCAATTCAGCATCAACATGCTCCACCTCAACAAGAATTTCTCCCTGTTCCAGCTCTTCGTCAGCATTATTAGTTTTCTTGAAAGCCATCTCTTCTTCATTGAAAACTACATCTCGACTGGTGATACACCTTCTGTGGCCTGGCTCTAGGCACCATAGCCTATAAGCTTTGACTCCTTCAGGGTATCCCATGAACATGCACTTCAGAGCTCTAGGTTCGACCTTGTCTTGCCTAATATGAGCATAGGCCACACAGCGAAATACTCTCAGTCTGTCGAGACTAGGTGGATGTCCCGACCAAACTTCTTCAGGTGTCTTCATTCCCAAGGCAGTCGAGGGACATCTATTTATCAGGTAAGCTGCTGTCGAAACAGCTTCCGCCCAAAACACCTTCTTCAATCCAGCACTAACCAACATGCATCTAACCCTTTCAAGGATTGTTCGATTGAATCTCTCAGCTAAGCCATTTTGTTGAGGAGTACCTGCTACAGTCTTATGCCTTGCAATCCCAGACCTAACACAATAATTGTCAAATGCTTCGTTGCAGAATTCAAGGCCATTGTCGGTTCTCAACCTTTTAACCTTTCTGCCAGTTTGAGTTTCGACCAGAATCTTCCAACTTTTGAAATTCTCAAAAGTTTCATCCTTCGTCTTCTGAATGAATACCCATAGCTTTCTGGAATAGTCATCAACGATGGACAAAAAATACCTTGCACTTGAGTGTGAAGGATTCCTTGCAGGCCCCCAAAGATCAGCATGAATGTAATCCAGGGATCCATGTGTTCTTTGCTTGCCTTTGTTAAACTTCGCCCTACAGGATTTACCAAATACACAAGATTCACAAAATTCCAACTTTTCAACTTTGTCACCTCCTAGCAGGTTCTGCTTCCCCAATTCGACCAGGCCTCTTTCGCTGACATGGCCCAATCTCATGTGCCATAATTCTGTCTTCGACATAAGTTTTGTGGATGCAACATTTGTCGAACTACTTACAACCTCAGCCTCAAGGGTATACAAGCCTTGTTTCTTCACGCCTCTCAAGACTTCCTTCGACCCCTTCATGACTCTTAGGATACTTTTATCTCCTTGAAAAACGTATCCTTTTCTGTCGAATTCACCAAGAGAAATCAAATTTCTCTTCAAGTCAGGTACGTACCTGACTTCAGTCAATAACCTTATTGACTCATCATGGAGCTTGAATCTCACAGATCCAATACCTGCAATTTTGCAAGATTTGTTGTTTTCCAGCAGCACAGATCCACCATCTTGATCTCATAGTTCCTCAAACAATTCTCTGTTTGGAGTCATGTGCCAAGTGCAACCTGAATCCATAATCCACTCTTTCCTCGAGTCGCCACTTGAAACCACAAGAACATCAGATGAGTCGAAGTCATCTTGAACAATGGCTGCATTGCCATTACCCCCATGATCTTTCAGGCGTTCAGGGCACACCTTTCTTATGTGACCCTCCTTCTTACAGTGATAACATCGAATACTAGATGTTTCACCACTATAAGACTTCTGTTGACTTTTACCTTTCTTCTTGTCGAACTTACCATCCTTTCGCAAGAATTTTCCCTTAACGGCTAAACCTTCGCCCACCGTCGAAGGTTTATGCTCCTTTCGTTCGTTCAAGTCCTTAGAATACAAGGCTGATTGAACTTCTTCAAAGATAAGGGACTCCTTTCCATACAAGAGAGTTTCTTTGAAGTGAGCATGTGTTCTGGGCAAAACACACAACATCAACAATGCTTGATCTTCATCATCGATCTTCACATCAATATTTTCAAGATCAAAAATCAGCTTGTTGAACATATCCAACTGCTCATCCAACACTTTGTCTTCACTCATCTTGAATGAATATAAAGCTTGCTTCAGGTAGAGTCGATTCACTAGAGATTTGGTCATGTACAAACTTTCAAGTTTCACCCATAATCCCGATGTTGTAGTCTCCTTTGATACCTGTCGAAGAACCTTATCACCAAGGCTCAACAATATTGCGTTGTGGGCTTTCTCAATCATGCCCGTCTTTTCTTTTGCCGTTAACGCAACGTCCATGGCTGCCTCACCCTTCAACGCTTCCAAACAACCCTGCTGAACCAATAGGGCTTTCATCTTCAAGCGCCATAGACTGAAGTCGTTCACTCTGGTGAACTTTTCAATCTCATACTTTGTTGAAGGCATCTTCTCCACGCTCACCGCACCAATTTGTTGTGAATCGGATACCTTTAAACAAAGTATAAACAGTTTCTTAATGATCAAGAAACTCACAAGGGTTAGGGTTAACAAAGAAAACAAGGTAAAACAACAAGGAACAACAAGGATTGGTTATTAAACTGCTATTCTTTCCTTTCTCTTAGAACAAGATTACAAGTATACAAGAATAACAAAATAACCTCCCTCCCTTGAAATTAGGATTTTATCTTCCTATTTTTCCTTATTCCAAGATTGAGAAACTAGCATCCTATTTATAAGAAAAATAGCGCACTAACCTAATGGGATTTTTAACAATTACCCATTACAAGCCAACTTAGGGTACAAGCTAACTTAAACAATTGGGCTTACAAGCAAGACTCAATAAAACAATTGGGCTTACAAGCAAGACTCAATTCAACATGCTAACAACCCTAGCAATATTGACTAATGCATGTTAGAACAAACTTCGACTACAACACGCATTACTTGCGAACAAACTTCGACTATAATAGAGTTCGATCCAACATCTCACAGATACCATATTAGAGTTTGGTCTAACACTACCTTACAAAACCGGTTGGTAAGGTGAGGGGTGACACTCTATATAAACTATTTCAATACTCTATCTCCAACCAATGTGAGACTTTAGTAGGATCTTCCTAATAATATGTACCGTATTACCAGTAGTTTTAGAAAATAAAAAATTACTAAATAGAATCATAATATAACACCAAATTTTAAATATTTTTTCATAGTAAGTCGAATCTTCGGTTAATGTTATACTTGAATAGTATTGTTTAATATTAAAACTCTGAATTATTTTGACCGTATTTTTAAATATATTTCAATTAACGATGATCACGATTAACAAATATATTTTTGCTTTTGGCGTATTTCAATTGACAATGTTTTCTTCTTCACTCTTTTTTCCACTCTATGAATTCTCTAAGTCACTTTCCTTCCTTTCTACTCTTTGATCTCAGTTTTCTTTTTCATTCTTTTTTCAGCTCTATGAATTATCTAAGTTAATTTCTTTCTTTCTACTCATTGAGCTCTTCAAAAACATTATTCCAGTTTTTTGATAAATTGTTTTCGAAAATTTTTTAATTGGACAAATTATTACAAGTAATAATAATACCAGTTTTATAATGAAGTCTTTGGAGTTCATAATTTATTTGCACAATTATAACTGATGTCTCAAAATATTTTAAAGAAAGTGATTTAATATGCAACTCAACCTATAATCTCTTTGATGGCAAAAAAATTGCTTTTTTTTTAATTTCAAAATAACAAGATAACTTACCTTTTGTCATCAATAATGTTCAGATTATTCAACTTTACGTCATTAGTTTTATTTCTCACTCTTGAAAACTAGTAATACAATAGATTTTTTATTTTAAATTATTACTTATACAAAATATACATATTAAGTAATTATAAAAAAAATACAAATAAATGATTGTTTTCAGCAATGACAGGTTGTAAAGCACAAAATGTAAAGAAGGAAGTGACAGGGTTGTAAAACACAATGTACAGAAAGAAGTGACACAGGTTGTAAAAACACAAAACATAAAGGAAGGCGTACATTGGGTCAAAGCAAATCAATAAAAAAAGCATAGAATAACATTCCAAATTACGTGTACCAGTATTTTCAACCAATCAAACTGATTCAATGCCATTATTTTATTTTATTTTAAAAAAAAATCAATTTTTTTATAATTTGCACTAAAATATCGGTACCCAACTTGGGTACCAAAGAATTTACCAAATAAAATACCCAATTTTTTGTCATTTTTCATAAAGGCACAGCAACTATTATGAGAAACCCATTTTTAAACAAGTATTTTTTGGTTTCGTACTTCGAGAAAAAGTGGTGAGTTATGAACTATGTATGAGCAGTGAGATGTGGAGAATGGTTTGACTTCTGAAATTAAAATCAACAATTTACATTTTGTGAATACTAAAAATAATTTGCATTGCACACGATAGAGACTAAAAGATTACTTATCCCTACTTGCGAAATTAATGAAATTTTAATTGCAAAATCAAACCAAATTATAACAAAGCAAAATGCAGAAATTGGTTCAAAGCCTGACCAAATAAAAGATCAATTCATAACAAAGTGCATAATATAAGTGTTTCACAATAACATTGGTCAAATACAATAAATCCCAAAAAAAACCAATGATTTATTATTAAATCAAGCACCAGAATATTGATAATATTCCTCTATCGCAACCTCCTTGCTTCTCTTTCAGACTCCAATAGAGTGATGACATCACCCACTCTCACCGGACCTTTCACATTCCTCATAATGCGACGAGTTGGGTCGTCAACAAAACTCACTCTAACTTGAGTCACCTGTCCTCTTGAACCAGTGCGGCCAACAATTTTCTCAACCGTAACATGCTTTAATTGAGTATCCATTCTGCTCAAAACACAATCATATATAAATTTCAGTAAATCCAAAACTACAAGGTTTCAAAAATACAAATTTCAGTAAAATAACATAAGGTAATTATAGTTCAGATCACAATTCATTAAAAACTTTCAACAGATCGGAACAGAAAAAACACAATGATCCACAAATTACCGAATCATGATTATTGAAATCGTATTTGCGCCGTAAAATAATGTAAATTAATAGACAATCGTTGCAACAACAAATAAAATTAATATCAAAGAACCACAATTGATCAACACTGACAATATTGAAAACTAGAAAGTAAATAAATTTGAGAAGCAACACATAGATAAATGATAAATTGAAGAGATAGAAATGGAGAAGAAAGCTTACGCAGTATTGAGCGGTGCCGCAGGAAGAGGAGAAGACCCGAATGAAGCTGCGAGAAAAGACAAAAATCTACTATTCACAATTTAGTTCTTGTATTTATATTTATTTTTTAAAATCTCTGAACAAGTTCGTGGGCTGGCCCAATATTATTGTCTACCGTCCGAAATTTGAGATTCTATCCTCTTACCCCATGGCACCCCCAATTTCCTGTGCAATTACCATTTTATTTTTTTAAAAATTTTAAAAGATATTTAACAAGAACATTGTGCAATTTTGAATTTTTCAAAAATTTAAGGTGATTTTTGGATATTTAATTAAAACTATAGGACACTTACAATTTATGACAAGTATGTATATAATTTTATCTTATTTTATAATTTTTATCGAATTTTTTGAAAAATCCATAAATATGTATTCATTTTTATTGGTTTTTAAAAATAAAAAAATCAGAAAAATGTTATGTGTCACTAAGTATTTTTTTTTTAAATTTTGGAAATATTCATAATTGTATCAGATATTTAGAAAAATCTGATAGATTAAATAATTTTGTTTTAATTTTGCAGTAAAAATTAGAGGATCAGATCTCTTAGAACTTATAATTGTTAGTCAATCTTCAACAAAAATGCTTTAAATTGGACCGGCTTGTTGAACTTTTGGCCGATTCAAAATCGACAGAAACACTATATAAAGTGGATCGTTTATAATCTATTTTTTTTCGTTTCAATTTTCTAATTCATCTATATTTTATATAATTTTTTCATTTTATTAAACTCTATCATACTTCTCAGCACATATGAAAAATTCATTGAGAATATTGAGTGTTTGTCATATATACTCATCACACTAGTTTTCACTAAATATAACTAACTATATCAAACTTGCTACTAAACACGAGCTAAAGTCTATTAAAATGGCAGTTGCATTCTTCTAGTTTTAAAATAAACACTATTTTTTTTAGTTTACATCAAATTGACAACTAACTCCCTTTTTTGTTATTACATAAAAAAAATTAGATGAAATATCAATATCATTTTAATAAATTTTAAAGGAGATGAATGTAATTTTCTTTAATAATATAATAACACAAATTGAAAAATATGGATTTAGATTAGGTGATTTTAGAGAGAAAAATATATGATAAATATTTTAAGGTATTAAATATAAAAGAAAATGTGGAAGAAAAATAATTAAAATGAAAATGAGTTATATAGAAGTGAGATGAAGAGAAAGTCAAAGGTAGCAATCCCTACCCAAAAGCATACGACTTGGAAAAATATAGAAAGGACGGCAGCATATTTTTTGTTTCAAGATTATATTCCTTCGTTACAAATGGCACACAGGTAGAGACATTTGGATCACCCAAGAACAAAGTACATACTATTTTCATAATTTTTTTATCTATATAACATATAATATTTGATTGAATAATTGATAATATCTTTGTAGCTTTTTGGCTAGAATGACAGCAAAAACAAATAAAATACCAAATTGCATCTCTTATGTCACACTGTCCCTACATAACAATGCAAAGGTAGAAAGACACTTCCAACAAACATGCCTAAGAAACATCGAATCATTGCCTTATTAGCTTGTCAAGACAAAGTCCAATTGGTTACACATCTCATCATCTAAGACAAAAACAGGTGAATGATTCTTTGCAACTAAGACAGATTAATTAAAAAGTGTCCAAATGGAATCATATGCCGGGCTAAGTAACTAGGAAGATCATAACCACAATTACAAACAAATTAAGACAGCATATTATTATGTCACACAAAACATAGTTCAAGTTTGAACATTAGTATATATATACCACGAACGGCTTTGTTTGTAATAAGACAATAGTAAGAGTCACATGTTGGCTGCTAAATTTTCTATTTGTCTAACAGTATCTAACTTAGTTTATATAAGTCTTTCTAAGCTGATAAAGCTCAGTGAATCTTTCTAAAGAGGTATCTCTCCAAAATGGGGAGCAATAGTTTGTTTCGGTACGCAGATGGATTCGATAAGTTGTTGATGTTCTTTGGGACTTTAGGAAGCCTTGGAGATGGCTTGCAGAATCCTCTCATGATGTACATTCTTAGTGATGTGATCAATGCTTATGGAGACACGAATAGCCGTTTAACGAAGCATGATGTGAACATGGTAAGTTTGTTTAAATAAAGTTACTACTCTTCTGGTATAGGCTATTATTACATAAGCAATTTTAGTATGAAATATTCTTGTTTGTTTCTGTAGTACTCAACAGTTTTTAAGATATCGTTTTACTTGGCTTTTTTCAGTATGCGTTGAAACTATTATGTGTTGCATTTGGAGTTGGAATTTCGGCTTTTATTGGTAAGCTTCATAGTTTCATAGCTCTGCTTTAGATATCTACCTAGCATTAGAAAAAATAAATCTAACTACTTTTCTTGCTTGATATGAATTTGATAATGGTTACTACAGAAGGATTATGTTGGAATCGAACAGCAGAGAGACAGGCTTCCAGAATGAGAATGGAATACCTAAAATCAGTCTTAAGACAAGAAGTTGGTTTCTTTGACACGCAAACTTCCGGTTCTTCAACAACATACCAAGTTGTTTCACTCATCTCCTCAGATGCAAACATAGTCCAATCTGCCTTGTGCGAGAAGGTTTGTCTGCAATTACCCATTTCCTTCTAAACAGAATGGTTTTAAATTCTGAATTAGTACAATTCATAATCGATATCATGCTTTATTAATTTCTAACTTTTTTCTGAATGTAGATACCAGACTGCATGACTTACATGTCAACATTCTTTTTCTGTCATATCTTTGCGTTTGTACTCTCATGGAGACTAGCATTGGCAGCCATACCACTGTCTGTCATGTTCATTGTTCCGGCGCTTGTATTCGGGAAGATGATGTTGGATGTCACAATGAAAATGATAGAGTCTTATGGTGTTGCTGGTGGGATTGCTGAGCAAGCGATATCTTCAATAAGAACTGTTTTCTCGTATGTTGGGGAGAATCAGACACTAAAAAGATTTAGCACTGCGCTTCAAAAAACTATGGAACTTGGAATAAAACAAGGTTTTGCAAAGGGGTTGATGTTAGGAAGTATGGGAGTTATTTATGTAAGTTGGGGTTTTCAAGCGTGGGTTGGAACATTTTTGATATCTGAAAAAGGAGAAAAGGGTGGACATGTATTTGTAGCAGGCTTCAACATACTAATGGGAGGACTGTAAGTGACTTTATCATTACTTATACTCTAGTTTCATAATCACTACTTTTATTTATATTCATGTTAATATTCGTGTGTTTAACTTCGAACCTGAACAATCTTCGATCAGACTTTACTTAAAAAATCACTAGAGCTCCATTCCACTGAGAACCGGAGGGTTAAGATAAAAAATAATATGTTTAACTTTGATGAATTTTTCAGGAGCATTTTAAGTGCACTTCCAAATTTAACAGCCATCATGGAGGCAACTTCTGCGGTCACTCGCATTTACGAAATGGTTGATAGGGTGCCGACTATAGATTCTGAAGAGAAGAAAGGAAAGGCTTTATCACATGTGAAAGGAGAAATTGAATTTAAAGACATATATTTCTGTTATCCATCCAGGCCAGATTCACCAGTTTTGCAGGAATTCAATCTCGTTATTCCAGCAGGCAAGAGGATCGGACTTGTTGGGGGTAGTGGTTCAGGAAAATCTACTATCATTGCACTGCTTGAAAGGTTTTATGACCCTGTAGAAGGAGAAATATTATTGGATGGTCACAAGATTAATAGGCTTCAGTTGAAATGGCTGAGATCTAATCTTGGTTTAGTGAATCAAGAGCCTGTTCTTTTTGCCACATCTATAAAAGAGAATATATTGTTCGGAAAAGAAGGTGCTTTGATGGAAAGTGTGATAACTGCAGCTAAAGCAGCAAATGCGCATGATTTCATTGTCAAGTTACCAGATGGATATGAAACTCAAGTAAGTTGAAAAAAAGAAGACTGTTGTATAAACTTGTTTTTATTTGAGGCATTTTTCTAAGTAGTTTGATATTTGGAAATTTTCATTGTAATATTTAAAGGTTTCATTTTCCTACAGGTTGGACAGTTTGGATTTCAACTATCTGGTGGACAGAAGCAGCGAATCGCCATAGCTAGAGCTTTACTTAGGGATCCAAAGGTTCTGTTGCTTGATGAAGCAACAAGTGCACTGGATTCTCAATCTGAAAGAGTGGTACAAGCAGCAATTGATCAAGCTTCAAAAGGAAGGACAACAATCATCATTGCTCATCGCCTGTCTACAATAAGAACAGCCGACACTATTGCTGTGCTTCAAGCAGGAAGAGTGATTGAATCAGGCAGTCATAACGAGCTCATGGAAATAAACGGTGGACAAGGCGGAGAGTATGCTCGTATGGTAGAGTTGCAACAAGTTACAACTCAGAATGATGAGTCCAAACATTCCAATCCTCAAATAGAAGGAAAGAGCTCTCACAGGATGAGCGTTCCTCAAAGTCCAGGAGTAAGTTTCAAATCAAGCACACCAGGTACTCCAATGTTGTATCCCTTCAGCCAGGGATTTTCCATCGGCACGCCTTACTCATATTCCATCCAATATGACCATGATGATGATAGTTTTGAAGATGACTTGAAGAGACCAAACCATCCAGCTCCATCAACGTGGCGTTTGCTGAAAATGAATGCCCCCGAGTGGGGAAGAGGAGTGTTAGGAATATTAGGAGCAATAGGCTCAGGAGCAGTACAACCTGTAAACGCATACTGTGTTGGATTACTCATATCAGTTTATTTTGAACCTGATATCTCTAAGATGAAGTCGAAAGCTAGAGTCCTAGCCCTCGTTTTCTTAGGAATAGGTGTTTTTAACTTCTTCACTAGTATTCTCCAACACTACAATTTTGCTGTCATGGGAGAGAGGCTGACGAAAAGAATTCGAGAGAAAATACTTGAAAAATTGATGAGTTTTGAGATAGGATGGTTTGATCATGAAGACAACACAAGTGCAGCCATTTGTGCGAGACTAGCCTCTGAAGCCAACTTGGTCCGTTCCCTTGTTGGCGACCGGATGTCTCTTCTGGCTCAAGCAGTCTTTGGATCCGTCTTTGCCTACACTGTCGGACTTGTTCTCACATGGAGGCTTTCGCTTGTGATGATTGCAGTGCAGCCATTAGTCATTGGAAGCTTCTATTCAAGAAGTGTTTTGATGAAGACTATGGCGGAAAAAACTCGCAAAGCGCAAAGGGAAGGAAGCCAACTTGCAAGTGAAGCTGTTATAAACCATAGAACCATAACTGCTTTCAGTTCTCAGAAAAGAATGTTAGCCCTCTTCAAATCTACAATGACAGGACCTAAACAAGAGAGTATTAGACAGTCATGGATTTCAGGCTTAGGTCTTTTCACCTCACAATTTTTCAACACTGGATCAACAGCATTGGCATATTGGTATGGTGGGAGACTCCTGATACAAGGCCTCATAGAACCGACGCATCTCTTCCAAGCATTTTTAATATTGCTCTTTACTGCATACATCATTGCAGAAGCTGGTAGCATGACTTCGGACATATCGAAAGGAAGCAACGCGGTTGGATCGGTTTTCGCTATCCTAGACAGGAAAAGTGAGATTGATCCTGAAACCTTATGGGGGTCAGATAAAAAAAGAAAGATTAGAGGCAGGGTGGAGTTTAAAAGTGTATTCTTTGCCTATCCGTCTAGACCTGAGCAAATGGTATTCCAGGGCCTGAATCTCAAAGTTGAGGCTGGAAAAACGGTAGCCCTCGTAGGCCACAGTGGTTGTGGTAAATCCACTATCATTGGTCTGATTGAAAGGTTTTATGATCCTATCAAGGGAATGGTATGCATAGATGAACAAGACATCAAGTCCTATAATTTGAGAATGTTAAGGTCTCATATCGCTTTGGTGAGTCAAGAACCAACCCTGTTTAGTGGAACCATTCGAGAAAACATTGCCTATGGAAAAGAAAACGCAACTGAATCTGAGATACGAAGGGCTGCTACTGTTGCTAATGCTCACGAATTCATAAGGTATAAATTCTTAATCCAATGACTTCTATTTTCTTAAACCATTACCCATTTCTACGTATCATTGTCAGTATTGTGTATGTTAGCTCATCCTATTAAAATTGGTGTTTGTTTTTGCAGTGGAATGAATGAAGGTTATGACACAAACTGTGGAGAAAGAGGAGTTCAGCTATCAGGAGGACAGAAACAAAGGATAGCTTTAGCCAGAGCTATATTAAAGAATCCAGCAATTCTTCTTCTGGATGAAGCTACAAGTGCACTTGATAGTGTGTCAGAGATTTTGGTCCAAGAAGCACTTGAGAAAATAATGGTTGGAAGAACATGTATAGCAGTGGCACATAGGCTATCTACAATACAGAAATCAAACTCCATTGTTGTGATTAAGAATGGGAAGGTTGTGGAACAAGGTTCACATAATGATTTGATTGCACTGGGAAGAAATGGAGCTTATTATTCTCTTGTTAAACTTCAAGGTGGTAGCTCCCCTAGGTGAATCCAACTAGAACTAAGTGTAGAATAATATAGACCTTATTTTTGTTTTTCTTGTTTGCTTAATAATCTACATGTAATCATAATATTTAGGATTGCATTATGAGATTCAAGTCTATATATATCTTCAATATTTGTGTTTTTATGAGATGTTAAAAAACATCTTAGAACTGTGCAAATCCTGACTCAATTTATAAAAGTCAAAATTGTTAGGTTAGATGTCATCATCTGAATTTGAATTATAATATTCACCAAAGTTTTAACAATTTAACATCGACGCATCTGAAAAAAACTATGTAGCACTTATACCTATGAAAAAAGATGTGTTTGGTGTATAAAACTGTCAACGACACTACATACTATACTTACTTTATTATTTTTTAAAATTATTATCGATGTTAACATTTCAGTGTCGATGTCATATTTTATGTGTGATGCTAAATAGAATCATTCATCATTAAGTGAAATCATTATTCACTTAATTTTAATCAATTTGTTAAAATACATTGGAAAATAAAATATTTAAAAATATAAAAAGTAAAAAATTAAGCAAATTAGTAAGTCAAATAAAAGCATAGAGAAACTAAAAGGGTAGAAAGAGCAATCCATCGTACACGAATCGGGGCAGCTTCGGACCCGACCCAAGGCGGAGTATTACCGAGCCTGATTCGTTTGGGGTCCACTTTCTCCCCGGTGCTAGCATTAACTTCCACATTTGCCCCTCCAGACAAACGGTGTCGTTTAGAATAAAAAAGCATAATCTTATAGTTAACGCGCGTGGCAAAATCCACGCGGATGAAGACGCTTCCGTTCACCGTGCGGTTCAGTCCACCGCCATGTGCTTCAGCGGAGCTCCATTTCTCGGTGGTCCTACCATGTCCTTGGTAGAAAGGTTCGAGAGTGGTGTTAGCGAGTGGGCGCGTGGTGTTGGCGTCGAGGAAGAGGGCGAATGTAAGACGAACGGTGTCGTATAGGACACCTTTGTCTTTGTTTGTGTTGGTGACTTTGAGGTTGAAGATAATGGTTTTGTTGTTGGAGTGTTTGTGGTTTGAAGTGATGGTTTTGTTGAGAGAGGGAAGGTAGAGTGATTGGATGAAGCATTTGGGTTGTTGAGTTCGGAGTGTGAGCCAGAGGAAGAGGATTATGAGGCCTGTGCTGGTGATGAAGCTTGTGCAGCAGGTACATAGGTTGCCGCTGCGTTCCCCCGCCATCTATGGTGGCTGGTTAGTGGATAGTTGAAGAAGAAATAGGAGGAAGAATAATGATAAGAAGAAGAAATAGTGAAGATTTTTGTTTGCTTTATTGTTTTGTTGATGATTGGTTTGGGTTTCTTTTGTAATGGTTTTGGAATATGTAATGTGTAATTTACAAGTTTTTTTCATGCTTTTTTTTCTTCTTTTGTGTGTAAATCGATCTCTATTGCACATGTATGTATTACATAATGATTTTAGGAAATGAAATGAAACTAGCTGCTGGTGGGTCAGTATCAATATTCGGTTGCGGAATAGTGTTGTAATACGGTGGATACACGACAATTTGATGATATACTGGAGTTGCGCAATAAAGAGATGGGAGCCAAGCGATGGCGACACATTCAGATATTTTTTGAGAGATCGTATTAAAAATATGAAGTTGCTATTTTGACACCAGAAATCATACACCATACACTTACTCCTTATGAAATACAACATGATTAAATATTAAAACAAAACAAAACGTATAATAATGTGTAAGTGTCAAGTTTAGTGAATGAATAACATTTTTCTTAAAATATTTAGAAATTGTATGGTCCAATAGTAAGATAAACTTTTAATTACGTAACATATAAATTTGAACTATATTATATTCTATGAAATGCATAAAAATAAAGAAAATGATGTGTAAAATATTTTTGATTAATTGGATGTCTTTGAAAATTATCCTACTTGTTATTACATCATTGACTATTTGAAAATGTGTGATGATTCCCTCTATTGTGTTAATAACATTTTTTTTATACTCACTCAAAGATTCATTCTTTTATTAGATAAATGTATATGAGTATCTCACTTTAAAATTGGGTCACACATCAAATGAAGTGGTAAAATTCACATGTATTTTGTTTAATAAAATAGTGTGTTAGAACGAGTGTTAAAAACAGAGTGCCCATAACAATCATCTTTTAGTAATGTGTGAGACCTCACAGTTGTGATTTTGGCTATGGGTGCACAACCTATCTTTTTAGTTTGTTGATTTATAATCTTCAAATTCTTTAGTTAGGTAATGTTAAAGTAATTGAGCATAAGTATTTGTTAGCTTTTTTGGACTTAGATTAAAGTTGGGCTTATAAAAGAATTTCGACTATTTTGCAACCTTTTATACTCGTGTTTTTATTTTTTGCTGATGGAATATGCATTACATTATTATTTCACTTATCATTAAATATTAGTGATAGTATAACGGTGAAGATCTTTTATAGGTGGTTAAAGTGATCTTACATGAAGGTTGTCTTATTATTATTGAACAAGGGTCTTTGAACACATGAGAAATGGTGAATTGTGATATTTGAATTTCAAAAAGAAATCACATAAATAATTGATTTAAAATAATTTATATTGGAAGTATATGTAATAAGAGATTAAGAAACAAAAAAGATAAATTATATAAATATAACGAGATATGTTAAGAAAGATCACACCAGAGATTATATTGGTTCGACCTTAAAACGCAGGGCTTACTCTAGTCCCCAAGAGTTTTCTCTTGAGATTTCCACTAAACTCAACTAGAGCTTTTACATTTCATCCCAACAACCTTATACAATTTGAGCTTTTGTATAAGATCATCCTAACAACATAACATAAACAACTTGCATTTTTACACAGGTTCACCCTAACAACTTTATACAACTTGAGTTTTTACCCATGCTTAACCCATGAACATAAAGCAAACAGCTTGAGCTTTTACCCATGCTCAACCTAACCTTAAACTAAACTTTTTACATGTTTATTTTGCAACATTTAAATCTATTACAAGACCACAAGAGAATTATGCTCTTAAATAAACAATCTCAGCACTCTCTCAACATTAAGACAATGACAAGTGAATAAACTTGTAAAATAAAGAAAATATGAGAGAAAAAGAGATGATTGTCGAAAAATTGGTGTTTTGAGAAGTGAGGAAAGTCCTCCTTAATATAGGAAAAAATCTTGCTAAAAAGGCAAGGATCCATGGGACTTTGGCGCTTTATAATTGATTAGAACATCAACCTAATCAATTAGGTTAACCCGTAAAAGGAAACCTTAATCTATGACATCACTTAATTGATTAGCAAGCCTATCTAATTGATTATGAGGCGTTACTGTTAGGTTGCATGCTTTATGATTGGCTGGATTTTGTTAAAACAAGTATTCTAGCGAGATGTTGTACCAGATGTCGTGACATGTTAATGCGATACTGAAGCAGAAATTGTTCAAGTATTCCAGTGAAATGTCGTACCAGATATCGTGATATCTTGGTGCGATACTAAAGCTAATTTTGTTTCACGTTTTAGAAGATTTGGTTTTATTAGTGAAAATTCCTTAAAAATTTTAATTCCAGTATATTACAATTCAAGAAACGTGTACTTTTAGAAGCTCAAAGTTCAGTTACATTCTTAAGAATGATTGACATATAATTTAAGGAAACATGAGATTTGATTTGATATTACAGAAGATTTGATTTGGATTTCAACTTTAAAAAATGATATATTATGGATCTGTATTTAATAATATATTATTTTCCAGAATATTATGGAATTTAATAATATATTATTTTCCAAAATATTATGGATGTGCTATTTAATCTAGCCTAATTTTGCTCATCAAGTCCATATTTTCAGAAGGCTATTTAAGGGTGTTTCTAAACCTAAAGAATGTAACTAAGTTGTGTGCGTGCAAGGAATTTTAGGGTTTAGTTTGTTATTTATGATCCACTCTAATATCACTTTGATATCAGAGTTGGATTGTGTTCATTGTTATTTGTGAGTCATTCATGCATCACTTAGATTGAAGGGGGGAGAGAGGAGTTTCTTATATAAGAAATGTCTTAGGTAGAAATTGCACGGGTAGTGATTATGTGCGAAGATTGTAAATTGGAGGTTGTTTACATAAGAGCTTCAAACTAATACTATTATTGTGGATTTTCTTCCTAGCTTGGTAGCCTCTAGATGTAGGTGACGTTGCACCGAAATAGGTTAATAACTTCCTTGTGTTATTTACTTCCTTCAATTTTGTTTAAATTGTTCATTGTTAATTCTTCTATTATGATGTCTTGACATTGCATTCGACATCCTAGTATCCTGGCATCGTATACGACATTTGTCTTCTTAGTGCTAGAATTTCAATTGGCATCAAAGCAGGCACCCTGCTCTATTTTGGGTGAGCTCCATGGAGATATTTTTTGGTACTATGGATAAGGAAGGAGGAGGAAATGTTAACAGACCGCCCGTCTTAGATGCACACTATACCAAAAAAGACCTTTAGCAACGCTTTTTTTGGCCTTTAGCAGCGCTTAAAAGCGCTGCCTAAAGTGGCGCTGCTAAAGGTAAAGACAGCGCTTTTTTTAAGTAAAAAGCGCTGTTATAGACCCACTTTTAGCAGCGCTTTTCTAGAAAAGCACTCTCTTTTCCCCCACCTTTAGCAGCGCTTTTCAAAAGCGCTGCCTAAAGTGTATTTGTTGAATACCTTTTAGCAACGCTTTCCAAAAAAGCGCTCTCTATTCCCCCACCTTTAGCAGCACTTTTTAAGCGTTGTCTTTTCCCCCCCATATAGCAGCGCTTTCAGAAGCGCTCTCTTTTCTCCCCCTTTTAGCAGTGTTTTTTCATGAAAAACGCTGTCTTTTCTTCACGTCATTGAATTTTTTTTTCAAAAAAATCACTTTTTCATAGCGTTTTTTTGGTAAAAGCGCTGTCTATTTTTCATATTTTTATGAAGTGATTTTTGTTGAATTATGTTGCACCGTTTTTTATAATTTTTTCCATAAACCTGCTTATAACAATTACATTCACCACATGTCTTTATGTCAACACTTTGGCCTTATATATACCATAATCATTGTAATTCAACATATAAACCTGCTTGTAATCATTGTAATAAAACACAAGTCGATCATCACAACAACTTCGCAAATACATTCACTATACATATAATTACAAAACCGATAACTTCACAAATACATTCACTATACATATAATTATAAATTCCATATTTCTGGATCCTCACAACAACTAACTTCTAGATCGAAGTATATCAACAAATTCCAAAACTACATACGACTTCCAAAAATATAATTATCCAGTAGTATGTACATAACATCACAACAACACAAATCTCTATAAACTCCGATCAAAAGACAGAAAGACAATATATATACCTTATACAATTGTCATCTCAAGAATGTATTGACATCATTCCTCCTTAATTTCTTCCAATTTGTCTTTCGAGTAAGTACCACACTTGAATTCATCAAAGTACTACATAATATAACATAATATGCATGATTTAGTTTTAAAACTAATTACTCAGATGAAATATCGGTTAAATATTAAAATAAATCATATAACTTATAAATCTATACCATGTTTGGAATCTCTATTTGACCCGAATGAATAATTTCCTTCATAAACCTCAATACAAAATATCTGTAATCAATTCCATTGCGCTAACAAGGACACTGAAAATGAAAAAAAACAAATATATATCAGGATATATATTTTAACTAGTTTTATCAAGTAGAATCACTATAACAGTCAAAATTGTGAAAATATACCTGCACTCTGATCCAGCTAATGTTATTAGCCTTCCTTTTTGGCATTGTTACTTGTCTTTGTGATCGAAATATTTATATAGCTCTAACATAATATAAACGAATATTTAGAACAATCTCACATAATAAATAAAGATAATTATTCAGAACAATATATCTCATCACTTATGTATCAACCATATTCTTCATATCAGGATATTTTGTTTGATCACCATCCAATGAATCCAGATAATACCCTATTTCTTTTATCAGATTAATCGCAACCAACAACCAGTGTCCACTGTAAAATAAGACAAAAGTTTAGACAGAAATGTTATATAGAATGTCAAAAAACGAATAATTATAATAAATGAATTTAGAATGAAATCTAACCCATGACCAGTATTATATGGTAAAAAATACAACTTCTTTGTATCTGTGACTATAAATG